TGCAACAAGAGACTATATTCTCGCATGGACAGATAGAACATACCCACAAAAACACCATACACATAACATCTATGACGTAGATGAACTACCAGCAATGTTAGATGACAAAGCGGATAAAACATATGTTGACAATAAAATGTCAAGTGAAGTGACAAGAGCTGACAAAGAATATTCTAAAAAGACTCATACACACGATTTCTTCGCAACTGTTGGTATAGAAAATATTGCAGGAACGGTTGAAGAAACTGGGGATGTACTACTTTGGAAACCTCCTAACTTTCCACAAGGTTTAACATCGGATGAAGACATAACGACGATGAAATACACTAGATGTAGAAATGTCTATGTCATGGAGGATGAAAACAAAGTTAAATTCACTGCTCAAGATTTATATGACAACAAAGCTGACAAAACATATGTTAACGTTGAGTTAGATAAAAAAGCTGACAAAACATATGTTAACGATGAGTTAGTTAAAAAAGCAGACAAAACAGAGCTTCAAACATTAAAGACAGAAATACTTCAAACATTATATCCTATAGGCTCTATTTATACGTCAATGAACTCTACCAGACCAGAAGTAGTACTTGGTCTCGGAACTTGGACTCAAATAGTCGACAGGTTTTTGTATTGTGCAAACTCTTCAAAGGAAACAGGCGGAAGTAAAACGATTTCAGGTGAAAACCTACCTGCACACAGTCACTACGTAGATTTAAGTACATCTCAAGCAGGTTGGCATAAGCATAAATTTTGGGATTGGCACGCCTTGAAAAAAGGTAAAGGATATGATGTTAAAGACGACGTTCAGTTTGCTATAAATTGTTACTGGAGTGACACTCAGGGAGATGGAAACCATACACATCGCGTTACAGGATATACGCAAACAAACGGGAACAAAGTAAAGACTACATGCCACCTTACATGACAGTTTACGCATGGTATAGAAATGCTTAGTCGTCATTTTCAACTTCTTTAGCATATTCGTCAGGAGTTGTCTTATATTTGTTAGGAAACTGTCTTTGAAAGTATACCACCTTGAACTTTGACAAGTTTGAAACGAGGTCTGACAATAGTAGTTTTATCTTCTGCTTGCAGTCTGTACATTTTGCCATGTTTGCCTAAAACTTCATAATATTCTCTTGTATACTTTCTTCTATTTTTACGAACACGAATGTGAGTACCTGTCGAGTTCCCATTGTTGTCATAGTCCAATAGTATTTTCATATGGGTCGCGTTTAGGTATTTCTATTTTTTACTTTGTCACCTTTCTTAAGTTTGAAGCCTGGCATTCTTTCTTGTTTGTCTCTTTTGACTAAACTATTAAATATATAGTCTTTCTCTAAGTCAGGGTTGTTTTTCATTTCTTCGGGGGAGTGGTTTCCCAAACCTTTTTGTTTACGGTTATTGTAAATATTTAAAACTTGTCTCATCTTTGCCATGGAGAAAATGTCTATATTTGTCGTCATATGACATTTCATCTACTCTCACCACACCACCTTGTGGTTGATTTAAATCTCTTAAGATTTTTATACAACTGTCAATGACACCAAGAGCAGAATGGTTTTGGTCGACAATGAAATATTGGTTTACATTTTTTGAACGCAGATAGTTTTTAATATCGTCTGATTTGAAAGAACTTTCACAGTCAGATGTCAGTTTTGTTGGATGGTATTTGTCAACGAATATTGTCAAAGCAGTTTTCACATCTAAAATATTTTTGGACTGTAATGGTATGGCTTCACAGTATCTTGTGTTTTGACCAACAAATATTAGCCAGTATGGTGGTCCATCTTCTCTATATCTCGGAATGTTTTCCAAGATATCCATAAACCAAGCATTTGTGTTGAACTAAAGATTTTTACCATGAGTGCTTTCTTTGTTGCCTTAGAAACATAGGGGTCCTTGTTTGGATTCGTCATTTTTTAACCCCATAAGAAATGGGTTTATTTGGCGCATTAGCAGGAGTTGCATCCAGATTTTTGCCCGCAGTGGGAACAATAGCCAGAGGTGCATTTGGAATTGGAAGGAAGATTTTGAGTACATTAGGTATACTGAAAGAGAAAGCACAACCTATTATACAAACTGTACAGAAAGGTTGGGAGGTAGCACGAGATGCAGCAAATCTTATTCCAAATCCTGAAACAAGAGGAAAAGTTCAAGGATGGATGGACAATGTAGGAAGACAAGCAGGAAACTATTATAACAAAGCAAATGACTACTATAACCAAGCAGGACACTATATGGACCAAGGTGAAAGATTCTTTAACAGAGGATATAACCATGCACAACAGTGGGTAAACAACAACCAACCGCAACCGCCTCAAACGTGGGGAATGTAAATTTTTTTACTGAGATGAAATGAACAATACAGCATTGAGACAAATGGGTTCAAGATGGATTTGTCGACTTCCAGCAGTTACACAACGTGTTTGTCAAGTCCTCCCTATACCTCAGGAAGTTTTAGACCGAGACTTAAAAAACCTAAACAACCAGTTGAAAACAAACCAAACTAAAATTTTTTACTGAGATGAAATGACCGAAGAAGTTGAAACGGTAGATTTGACACCACAAACAAAAAGTTCAGAACATTGTCAAAACCTGTCAAAGAACTTACAGATGAAGAGAAAAATTCAATAATAGAAAGTGCCAGGTCTGGAAATACAAACCCTAACTATAAAGTCACTTTTCATAGAAATGGAACGGCTAGTATCTCAAAAAAGAAACAGACTCTCACAAATAAAATATTGAAGTCTGAAGGAGCTTTCGAGACAACAGATGGAAAAGTTTACTTCACTGACCAACAGTTCATTATAGAACATCTCATTGACTTAGAGTCAAAATATTCTAAACTTTACAACAAACACAAAAAGTTGAAAGGAAAACAAAAACAAATGGCATATGATATTTATGAAGATGTTGACGACACAACCATACCTGCAAGTGAAGTAAAGTCAGGTGAACCAAAAAGTGACGAAAAACCGATAGAAGAAGGTGAGCCAAAACTGAAGATAAACCAAAACCAAAGGTTAGTTTCCAAACTAAACCAAGTCAACCTTCATTAGCTGGTATGGGTTGGCGTCAAAGACTTATGGCAGCAGGCGGTTATGTAAAGTAAAGAAAAAAATATTTTTTTATTTTTATAGAAATGCCCCCATATAGAATGGATAGAAAATCTGCTAGAATAAAAGCAGAGTTAGAAAGATATGGTTGGAAAGTTTCGAAGAAGTTTAAATATAGGAAGGGAAAGCCAATAAAAGTCTATGACAAACTGTCTGGTCTTCGCTACGAGATGGACTTAGAAACCGCGCGCGCGCAATTATCCAAACAGACTCGAGAGGTTAGAAGAAGAACGTCTTATGGACATGCCTTTCGATGTTTCTGAGCCTCAAGTTGAAGGACACGACGGCTTTGCCAGATTCTACTGGAAACATGACGAACAATTGCATCCTTTGAGAAGGAAAAAAGGGAAGGGTGAAGACAAACATGCTCCCATGGAAAGAACAAGATATGCATATGAGAAGTATCGTGAAGTTAGAAGTCAAATTACATCTGGTCGAACCTTTACAGTAAACTTTGACGAAGGAAAGAACAAAGAAGGCTTCATGGGTGTACTTGCTGCAATTCAAGACGGAAATAAGAAAGGATACAATCTCAGACTAACCGTAACAGATTTGGACGGTCACATTTACTATGCACATGGCAATGTCACAACAGCCGCACAACTTCTTGACGCTTTCAAGACTACAAAGAGAGAACAAATGGTTGACTCCGACTCAGACATTTTGAATGCAATTGAAGGAATTGTAAGCGTGAAGTTCGAATGGTACCAACCTAACCCTCAAGCAGTCAGACAACATGTTTGTTAGATGAGAAATATGAAGTAAAAACGTTTTTAAAACAATATATTTTTACATATATTAAATGTTTCAGGTTGAAAAACAAAGAACAAAAGTAGCAGATACAAAACCGTTAGACTATATCTTCACAAATGCCGGTAGAAATATTTCAGATGAAGAAATTTCATCCGGTGCTTACAGGTTTGACTTTCCAATTCGTTGGCTTCAAAGTCCTTCAGATGCAAAGGCAATAGGATTTAGAAGAGTTTTGTTTTCAAATAGAACTAACGCGTTTATGTTTGCAGTATATTTTCATGGGCAATATAGAGGTTCTGATGGTCTAATAGACAAATTTGACGAAATGAGAATCTTTACAATTCGTTCAGACGAAAACCTTGAGAAGACTCTAAATGACTTTCAAACTCAAATGAACAAATATTATTGGGAATTGCAAGAAAAATACGACTCTCTACTAAACGGAACTTACTATCTGAAACTAGAATATGACAAAATGAACTCCACAGTTTCATTTCAAAGGATTGAAATTAACCCTCGAAGAAGTACACAGTTTTTATTTTGGGAAGTAGACAAACGTTCTTGGGCACAATTTCTTCGGTTACTAAACCAGAACGAACCATTACCACCTGACGGTCCGTTTAAATTTATACGCCCACCAACAGATTTGACAGTTTATAGAAATGTGTTTGACCCTCAAAATGTTATATGTCATGCAAGTTTCAGTTCAAGCAACAATAGTTTTCTTTGTATGGGTAAGGACTTCTATGACTTTGCTTCTAAATTCTACGAACCACCTAGTAACAGTTTCTCTGACTTTCAAGTTTGGTTCACTACAAACGGTGTGCAGCATATTATACCTTTGTACTATGACTTTTATCTCGAATTGTCTTTCATATACAACTACGGAAAAGTGCTGAAAAAGTACTGAAAAATATATTTTAGGTGAAGAGGTGAAATCTCACCTCTTTTTTCACCTGTTTTTTCACCCTCTTGAATTTTCATGAATTTCCTTAAGATAGAAAAAAAGTGAGTTAAAATGAGATGTTTACTGAACTGGTTGGATGTCGCCTTCACAGGTTATGTAGAACGGCAGACCAGAGAAGTGGAATAGTGCTCTGAGAATTTGTATAATTCGTGGAATTGGACTCTCTCTGTTTGGAAGTTGTATCCATGGGCGCTTTGCAAAGAACTTGAGAAGAGCTTCTTTCTTCATCTCCTTTATGTCGTCTACAGGAGTGTTTTCTGGTATTTGAATTGGAATTCCAGTCGAAATCTCGATTTTCAGCGCACCTCTTCCAGACAACCAGCAGCCGAGGGACTTGTTGGCTTTGTCCTTGCCCAAGTACTGCTTAACAACTTCATTTATCTCTATAAGGTAAATTGCCTCATCTAATGGCTCGATGCTGTCCATTGTACTTTTTCAGAACTAGTCTTGTTCTGTTTCAGAACTAGTCTTGTACTTTTTCAGAACTAGTCTTGTTCTGTTTCAGAACTAGTCTTGTACTTTTTCAGAACTAGTCTTGTACTTTTTCAGAACTAGTCTTGTACTTTTTCAGAACAAATTTCCCGTAAAAGCTCTCAATTTGAGAGAAAAATTTTCTGTTTCAGAACAATATTTGTTCTGTTTCAGAACAATATTTGTACTGTTTCAGAACAATATTTGTACTGTTTCAGAACAATATTTGTACTGTTTCAGAACAAGTCTTGTACTGTTTCAGAACAAGTCTTGTACTGTTTCAAGACAATGTCCGACGGTTAAGCCACAAACGAATGTCCGACGGTTAAGCCACAAACGAATGTCCGACGTACCACTCAAAAATATTTTTTTATTTTTATTGTAAGAACAGTATGACAGTCGAAGCAAAAACGTTCACGAACAAATCTAATGGCGAAACATTCACAAAAGGCACTTACAACGGTATTGAAGTCTTACGTAGAGACAAGGATGGTTATATAAATGCAACAAAGATGTGTCAGCAGTTTAGGAAAGACTTTAGAAGGTTGTTGGAAAATAAGTCCTGGGAAGAGTATTTTGAGGCATTTTGTGAAGAATATACCAACCCGCGGAATTCCGCGGGTTGCTTTTTTATACACAGTTTCATGCAGGAATTCCTGATGAAATCAAACAGGTTAGAGGAACGTATGTAGACCCAAGACTTGTAAAACTATATAGCAATGTGGGCTTCTCCAAAATATTGCTTATAGCAGTTTGGAAAATTTTGGATTCCATAGACAAGAAAGTTCATGAGAAGTTAGATGAAGAAGAACTTGAAGATACAGTAGAGAATGCAAAACCTTTGTTCGAAGAAGAAGTTAGAAAAATGCATGAAAAACAAATAGAACATGAACGTGAGATATGTTCTGGTTATAGAGACTCGCCCATACGAACTAAGACCAATGGGAACAAGAAGATTTAAAGAGAGAATTTAGAGAATATGAACTCGCTAAGATAGCATTAGAAGCTGCAGAAGAGAGGTTAAAAGCTTGGGGTTGTTTTGTACAAAAATATTGTGAGTAAATGAACCATTTTTTTCGACAAAAATATATTTTAGGTGAAGAGGTGAGATTTCACCTCTTTTTTCACCTCTTTTTTCACCCGTTGAATTTTGTATAAAAAGCAACCGTCGACATTCCGGCGGTTGGTATATTCTTCACAAAATGCTTGTTTTGAGGTCGAGCCACTTTTGGCTCCACCGTATTTTTCAACCAAAACTCATGAATTTTCCCGAAATAAAAAAAGTTAGTTTTTTATAAAATATTTTTTTATTTTTATTGTAAGAACATGTTAGCAACAACAGCACCAAACTCTTTAGTCATGAACCCAACTTCAATGTTAGTAGAGATGAAAAGCTTCATTC